AAAACACCCGGAAACTAATGGAAATTTTTACCTTGTCATGTTTTTCAATCCTTCAAATTTAATACACTCTAACCACTTTTGGAGTCGTATCTGTCTTAGGAAAACGATATAAATTAACATCACTACGCCTGCTAGAACAATTCACAACACAACACTTGTGAAACATACTAATTGGACGTAGTTATGCGAAAACGTTCCATTCCAAAATGATCACAATTTGAGAAAAACGCAATTTACTATTTCAGTGGTAAACTTTTTTGCCCTAACTAGTGTTGGCGCTGGCAACACTGTATACCGGATATGACGTTATTTACTTGAGCCAAGGGACACGTGGTCGCATGGAGGAGTGGTCACTTGGATTTTGACTGCGTTCCAGAACGGTGATATAACCACTAGTGCTGCTTGTCGTTATAATAGTTGTTAATATTCAAGTTCAGTAATAGTTAAAATATTACGATCAAGGTAAAAACGTTAGAACTCTTATATCAGAAGTGGGAAATACGAAAACTCGCGTTTGGCTGTTGAAACAATCTGCGACATATTTTCTCCTTGGGTACCTACCCTCGAAAAAAACAGTGTGTTTTATACTTACTATACGTAATAGTGATAAAATCTTTTGGTTAAATGTAACGAAAGTTTTTGTGAGTACCTTCCAGTTAATTAATTACTTATCATCTTTGAGAAAATGTAAAATAGCGATACACAACTGGTTTACCCGGTTAAGCTACTGTACATTTTAGTAGTTGGAAGAGTTAAGGCATGAAGTGGTGATGGGTGGTGGGCGGAGGCGCTTTTCAGACCGCAACCTATCTTCCAAGGGCCTTGAGCCCTCCAGGCGAGCGTTAAGCATCTTGCCCACCGCCTCTGTTATTGAGCGCTGCAATAGCTCCGGCTCTATTGTCGTGCTTGCAGTCAATGGAACTGGTGCTACCTCTCGAGCCTCTTGGGTCTTCCGCAGGTCCGCTCGTAGTGCGGCCAGCTCGCCACGTAGCTCGATGACCTCAGACCTGAGGCGTTTGTTACCCGCCTCCATCTTCGTTTCCGCCGAGACAGTCGTCTTAGATATAGCCTCGACGGCGTCTTTGATGAACGAAGCCGCTTCTTTGAGGGCCTTCACGAAGGTCCCCTTTTAAATTCTTTGACTTGACGGCCACGTTAGTTATGACCGCCAGCTGATGTAGGACCTGTTCGTGCAGGTCACATGCCAGAGGGGACTGATCTACGTCGTCATCAAAGGCTTCACTGAGCCAGACCGGCCTTTGTTCGCGCGCTCTACGAGCGGCATCCGCTATCTCCTTTTCCGCCTGAAGCTCTCGTTCCGCTCGCTCCACAGCAGCTAGCGTAGCCTTGCTCTTTATTAGGCCGATTTCCTTAGTGGACATAGATGACTGACCCATTTCACTAGGGGCACCAGTCTCGGAGTCCTTGGCAGCGGTTGTCTTCTTCCCGCTCTCGCTCGACCTCAATCGTTCGTCCTGAGCTGACTTTGTTTTCAGGTACCGCCCCCGTGTGTTCCTTGGTAGTGCCGGAGACGAATTTCGTCCGCGGCCTTCTTCGTCTTTTCCCCGCCAGCACTTTTAGCGCCGGCTGCTCGTCCTGACTTGAGGCCCCGCTCTCAAAATTCTATTGAACCTCTCTTGGGCGCTTGCGGACGTCCATGAAAAACTTAGAAGGAACGTTCACAGGCGCCCGACTTAATTCACCTACCGACGCAGACCTCCTCAAGTCCATGCGTCCATCCACCGTTGCGACTATTTCGCTATGCTTGTCATGTTCCATGTTATCGCCTTTGTTATTTTTTGCTTTACCGTCTCTGTTTTTTTTATTTGGATCCATAAAAATTCCCACGAGTAGTGAGTAAATAAACGTCCACCGGGCCAGGGACTCAAGAACCCAGACATACGCCTGGGGGTCGGGAGGTACCCAGGGTTGGCCGCTAGGATTGGTTAGACGGTCCAGCCGTTCTTTCGAGCATCCGACGCCGCGCACCGCAACGCCGAAATCTCCGGATTTTTTATTGAGGTTTACTCCTCGTGGTCCGGCCGGTTAAGGCAAGACCCTCAGTTCTGCCGCAGGCCGCGAGATATGATCCACGACACCTGCAGTAGAGTACCGAGATCGCCCGGTGTCGGCAAAAGCCGAGTGCACTTGGCAAACACACCGCGCGAATCACTCCGTCCCCTCTCGGGAACTTCCTTTCATATATTACGCAATCACTCACCTGTTTCCCCTTTCCCCCCAAAGCGCACATCTTTCATACATCACGCACATTTCCCCCCTTGTTGCATCCCCTGTCCCCTCTCACAAGAGAGAGATACTGGGAGCCACGAAGGCTCGCCTTGCAGGCTTGCCTCCTAGGACATTAAGTCACCATGAGAGTCTTGTATACTATGAGGTATTAGATGGTACCCTACAAAAATATTTTCCCACAGGTATATGTCATTACCATAATCTTAAGTAATAATGTTATCATTAAAAACAATATTTTTATAAAGCCAATAATGATTGCACGTTAAACATATACTTGTATCATAGTTATAAATAATAGCATGAAAAACAAAAAGCACTTTTATTTCAGCATTTACGTATCAAGAAAGTACTTTGCACTCTCATATGCTTTCCGTATGAATCCGCCGGAGCGCTGTGTCTGTAATTATTTAGGTAGATAAATATCAAGGCATGGTTTTTGAACAATAATTAGGTGAGTTTCATATTTTATTTTAAATGTATTTAATGTTTTCAGACTACGACGCAGTGGCGGCAGGCTATTCCACAAATATATATGTATATATATTTAGGAATTTAGGTTTCCTAGAACCTTGAAATGAAACAATTGATATAAATTTTTTCTACATGTTTTAACAATTGATATAGTTTAAAACAACTGTATTTATCCGAAAATTAATAAACTACTTGATACTGATAAATGAGAATGCGTGACATGCTTTTTGACTGACAGCGAACTGCGAAGTTAATGCCGATTATTTTACAATAAAACAAAAACGATGAGGCGTGCAATTGACGCCGTTTCGTAATTATGTCCAGCGTAGCTCGTACAATATATATTGATACATTAACTGCAAATCAGCTAATTTCGGCGGAGCAATAGATTTTCCATCAGGCCTCAACAGACAAATGATTTTGACTAATTTGACGTATTTAAACCATTGCAAATATTTACAATAACATACACAATTTACTTATACAACACGTTAAATTCGAAACAAAACACGTCTTGGCGTGGCGAGAGTACACTACGTTATTATTTGATTTAAGCTCTTGTTACGAAGGAAAATTTTCGATTTATTTATTAGAGGATAAAGGCGACCATTTGCCGGTGTCTTGGATGAATATGGGTTGTGGGCGCTTGTCTTGCGACGCACGGGGGACTGCGGGAGGCGCGGGAGCCACCAGTTTGTCGGCTGGAGCGGAGGGGTTTTTTTTTCTTCTTTTTTTATAGTGAGTAAATAGGATGGTTGTGCGTTAAGAGCGCGGCGCTAGTGGCGACGCTTTGCTCTTAACTACCATGAAGAAGAGAGTGTTATTGATTTGGAGTAGTGTTGAATGGGTGTTATTATCGTGTTCGGATATAATATATAAATAATATTATATACGTAAGAATTATTTAAGTGTATTATTTAGGTTTCATGTGCATACAAAATTAGCATCTTAGAAAAAAAAAGCAATTATATCCAATAAAGGTAAATAGGAAACAGTAAATTTGACACCAGTTATTTACAGATTTTTCTTAAAATTACAAGTAGTAGAAAAACAACGATTATACTTAAAGTTCATTTTTTTTGTATTAATACGGGTGCAAATGATATTTTGATCAGACAAATGAATTTCAAGTTCTTAATCATGTGATAAGAAAAATTACAATGAATAATATTGTTATATACATAATGTTTCAATTCAAGGGCTACAAGTTGACGTTTTTAATTTTAACATATTCAGAGGTGAATGATTAGTCACCAATCAATCAATGAAGTTAAATATCCAATTAATATAATTTTTTAGTTTAATAGTTTAAGATAATAAGAAATTTAACATAAATTATAAAAAGAAGCATTTTAATCGCTGTCCTCAAAGGATTCATGTCCAGTGCTGCATTCTTCATTAGTCTCATCATTACTGAATAAGAAAGACTAATTTACATTTTCAGCTCCTATTAGTAGGGCCTTCGTGGGCCTATTTTCAGGCGGGCATGCAGAGCGGGGGGCAACAGTTTTGAAACAAAAAATCCTAGGAAAATCAGGATGAAGCCTGCATGACCACCTGTCTTTTTTTATGATGTCGAAGGATATTTTTGCTCGTGTAATAGGCGGCGCAGAGAACGCATTGCATGCCACCTTTAACTGCAACCGGTGTGTTAGAAGGAACTGCATCAGCCGCTTCGGTGGGCCTAGGTGCCTTTACTGGTGACACGAGGGACGGGGCCGTGGAGGACGGCTGGGAGTAGCGCTTCTTGCGCTTCTTGTTCACCACTTGGGTGAACAAGCCTCCTTCATCGGCGTCAGGGGAGAGGGGCGAGTCGAGCTTAATTTACTCTTGCAAGGAGGAGCTCGCTGCAGCGTCGTCGGAGGTGATAGAGGCCCTTGAAATTCCCTTAAGTACTTGAAGGGCATCGGGGACGGATTTCGGAAATTTTTCTTGGAGGAATGCCAGGATGGCCTTTACTTCGGCCATTGCGGACTTAATTATATTTAACTCTAATTATTTTAAAGTCCTGGTGGGATACCGGGGTTTGTGCCCGTATCTCTCAGGATGAGTGCCTAAGTTGCGTAACCCAAGTGCCGATCTTATTGTGCACTCGGGTTTATGTCCATTCGTAACGAGAGTCACGAGTGAACGCGGCGCGCGGTGCGCGACAACTGAGCGAGTCGACACGCGGAAGGTGATATGCAAGACTGAAGCGGGCAAGTGTGGGGGTGGCAGGGGTAGAGCGAGCGGAATGTTACCTCCCGTCCGTGGGGTCTTTTACATTGCCTCATAAAGGTATGCAGGTTCGGGTATCGAGGTTCATCCCTCATGACCCGGGTATCTTCGCGGAGGCCGCTCTGGACTCCCGGAGGTTGGCGCCTAAAGACGTGACGGAATACGTGCGTCTTAAAAATGACGCACCGATGAAGGTGTGCCTCAATGTTCGACATAGTGATTGGCGAGCATGATAGTGCTCCCTGGGGATTGGCCCATCGCCATATCGGCAAGGATATTAGTGAAGGCTTCGGATATAGTGCGGATTAGGCTCCGTAACCCTTTGGCAAATTTTTCCCTAGTGGGCTCGGTTTCGGATGATCGTCGGTCTTCACGGGGGCGGAGAGGACGGCGCGAGGGCGTCGACTCTGTCCTCTGAGTGTCCGCAAAATGCAGCTTTCTTTGCTCGCTGGTAGGCTGAATGGTCTCTTCGGCGGGGGTGAGGAGGGCGCTGAGGTAGTGCCGTCTCCGTCTCCGTAGCGGCGGCCTGTTGCTCTCGATTTTTATGAGATGTGGGCAGTGTCCTCGTGTCGTACGCAGGCGTCGCTGGGGCATCACGGCCGCAGCGCCTGCGGCGGTGGCTTCTTATGCTGTTCCCGGCTGGGTTCGCTGGTGGTTGCAGTGTCGTTACAACACTTTCCTACGAGGTAGTTCACTAGGTTGTGGTGCGCGTCAACGACAGGCTCCCTAGTATTTGGTGGGTTTATTTTAAATTGACCCTCTAAGAAATCGGCTAAGATGTCCGTTCGTTCCTGAGAGCCAAAACAAGGTAACAAGGACAGACGGATTTTTTAACACACGATAGCTGCCGGTTCAGGAGGTGAAACGACGTAGGATGTTCTCCTGCGGCGTCGATACGTGGCCCCCACAACTCACCGCGATGGTTTTTTTTTTGTGCCGACAGCTTTTCGGAGATGAAATAATTGTGCGGATTCGCGTTGGTAATACACGATGTACGACCGGGCACTATCCGGAAGTGTTTTAGAGGCTCCTTAGCCTCCGTAATACGTTGGCTAAGTTTAATAGCTGCGAGCTCGATATCTTCCGGCGTGGTAATCTGCTCCGGTAACCAAAAATCTTTTAGTAAAGATTGAAAGTTACCCACGTGGCGGTTTAGGCGCGATACTCGTCACCTCCAAATCGAGCGAGACAAGAAGGGGCAATTGTTGAGAGTCTACGTCGTAAAGCACCTTAAGTTTTAACGGACGATCCCAGCCGTGATTGAAAATAATATCATAGACATCGGGAGCATATAGGCCATATTGGCGGAGTAGTGTAGTAGTGGGTATCATATCCCCACCGGTCTGCGTCCTCGTAGAGTGCCCTCCCCGCGGTGTTAGTCGTGTGCGAACCCCAATCCAAATGTTTAGCATATTGAGGTCGCCAAAGATTAGCGCGGGTGAGGTATTATTAAAAATGGTATGTATGTCCATTGGGTGGAGATGTGACTTAGAAGGTCTGTATGCGGCATAGGTTCGAATCTCCCCCCCAGCCAAATGTAACCTCACACCTATGGTAGATAAAGAAATAAATTTATCAAGTCCCAACTCGTAGTGTATTAAATCCCTCCACAAGTACGGCGGTTCCCCTGTACGCCTTCCCTTGCAGAGTGACTTCGTCGCGCCGATACATTAAGTAATTGGGAACTTTAAAAGCTTTGCCCCGACCTAAGCTTAGTTTCCCCCAAAAGGATGACATGAATGCCATACATTTGGGCGAGGGTGCGTAGTTCGGTCACCGTCGAACACCATCGGGGTTCCAGTACATTAGCCTAAGTTCTTAGCCATAGTGCACCGAGATTAGACGGGTAAATACACGCTTCACCGCGTTTATGCGATCCTCCCCGGCTGCTATTGCAGTGAGGACTTCAGAAATAAGATCCACCGCGCACCGGACGAGTCTCTGCAACAACTCCGCAAAGGACTCGGCCGAGCCGTCGTGACCTCCCGAGTACGGTGTGTGGCCTCTGGATTCTGCCTGCAGTGTAGGCAGCCTACTTTGCCGCGGGCGTCGGCGGGGTCGTCTAGCTTGGCTGTCCGACTCCGCCTCCGAGGTATAATCCACAGAGTACTATGTATATACGGAATTAGAGGGTTATCTTGACAGCTAAAAGAGGTAATTGACAGAACGCCACCTGCATTGCTTATATGGAACTACTACACCAATAAGTATACGTATAGGTACACACCACACATTAGACTATCATTCTATTTTGTATTCTGCCTCATCTGTTCGATTATGTCGTAGCGAACAAGGCGGTGCTTCGGCGTGGTGGTCCGATCCACGCAGGCTGGAGCAGTCAGCGGCCGGCCGATGAGGAAATGAGCGGGTGTGAGAGGTTGCAGGTCATTAGGATCTGTTGACAGAGCTGTTAGGGCGGGAGTTCAGGATGGCTTCAATTTGTGCCAAACATTGCTGAACTCTTCGTATGTGAGGTTAGCGCACCCTATAACACGTCGCAGGTGATACTTAGATGACTTAATTCCTGCATCCCACATACCACCAAAATGTAAGGAGAGTAAGGAGGTATGAAACTGAATTTAATATTTGTATTTGATGCAAAATCAATGATATCCTGACTCTGACCTTCAAGTGACGAAACGAATTCTTTCTCAGACCCTACAAAATTTTTAGCGTTCTCTGACATAATTTCAATTGGTTTACAACGGCGAGATATAAATCGCTTTAATGCTAGTATATAATCATTCGTAGAGAGACTTGTGACTAGCTCTAAATGAATTGAACGAGTACACAGACAGATAAACAAACAAATGTAACCTTTAATAAGGCTAGCTCCTCTTCCTTTACGATTCAAAATCATCACTGTCCCGGCATAGTCCACTCCACAGCGCATGAAAGGAAATCCGGGTTCCAGTCGTTCAGCAGGTAGGCTGCCCATGAGAGGTTGCAAAGTCTTACCTTTAATGCGTGTGCAAGTGACGCAATTAAGTATGATTTTTCGAGCTAAATTTCTTCCTCCAAGGGGCCACCATGCCTCGCGAACGTGAGCTAGCAAAACTTGCAAAACTCACCGTGCAGTAATTGTAAATGTTCATATCTGAATAATAATATTGTGAATCTATGTTTACTTCACAATAGCACTGGGTGTTTTTTATTTCTATCAAAATGAGGCGAATTATTAAGTCTGCCACCAATACGTATTAACTTATTGTCCAGAAAAACATTTAAACCGATTAATCGTTTTGACGTTAAAGTTGACCGTTTAACTAACTCATTATATTCATCGTGAAATGATTCTAACTGCGCGAGACGTGCAAGCATTGCAACTGAGCTGAGCTTTTAACAGCGCTCGGGCTGTATGATATATGGTATTATTATCTATGACCTCGATTAGGGCAGTGTATAATAACACTTGTGGTAACTGTAACGAAGATTCATTATTTCGAAATAAAATTTTCGCATTAGTTGTGGAATTAAATGCACATGATATGACTGAAACCGTTTTCTTGTCAGCTGACTGTGAATTATGCGCACTTGCCGCTGATGAACTCGGTTTTGAAGTATTAACGTAGCTATCGTGGTGTAATTAAGCTATTTTGTTTTTTCTGGCACTGCTTGCACGGGCCGAACAAGCACTCTGAAATTGAATGCCTTGCGCGTAAACAATTGCGGCACAGGTGTTTTTCATCGATTAATTTAATTCTATCTATAACTGATAGGTTGAGAAAATGAATACAAGCGTATAATGCATGATTACCGCTACACATTACACAAAGTCGTGGCAATTTTTCGGGTTTGCCATTTATACGCGTGGTCACAAAACCATGAAACTTATGCACGTGCGCGGTTTTCGAATGTCTGTTATCGTCTAAATTATTGTTACATTTATTAATTTGAGTGTGCTTTGAATTGTTGCTTTTAATCATGTCTAGCATATCAGCACGGTTTCGTAAGAAAGTTAACAATTCTTCAAGTTTTATTTTTCCGTTTTGCAAATCACTAGAAATAGAGCCTTTACAATACTCCCATTCGCGTTCCGTGGCAGAATCTAGTTTTGACACTATAATATAGATAATAAGGGTATCCCATTGGTCCGTGGGCTCATCTAATGATTTTAGAGCTCTTAAGTTACGTAAAACAGTATCAATTAATTTCCGAATATGCAACGGTGATTCCTTGATAATTGCCTGTGCAGTAAACAAAGACTTAACATGATTGTGAATTAATAATCGATTATTATGGTATCTATTATCTAATAATTCCCATGCGTGGGTATAATTAGCGGCTGTAAATTCCAACGCATTGATGACTTGAAGGGCTGATCCACTAAGCGAAGCTTTCAAGTAGTGAAATTTCTGGATAGCGTCTAAATCGCTTCGCTTGTGGATCATGGATAAATACGAATTTTTATACTCGAGCCAGTGATCATATGAGCCGTCGAATGAGGGAAGCTTCATTTCGGGTAGTTTAATAGAAAGAGAATGTGGCGTTCGTGAATACTGAGCACTGTCACTTTCGACCTAAGCTTGACCTTCGTCGGTTAAACACTTTGCAATAGACATTATAGAAAAGTATTGATTTTCAAACAATTCCCTATATTCAAGTTGATTTTGTATTTCGGATTCATCTAAAAATTGTTCGTTTTTATCTTGAATTATATTAAAATACTTGAGTAAACCCGCAACTGATTCAATACGTAAAAGTAATTCGGCCTGTAGCCTTTCGGACAACGTAACATTTTCAAATTTACTAACGTACTTTTCAAATAATGTCAACCTTCCCTTAATTGAACCCCTTTGTTTTTTAGATCGCTTAAATTCATAGAATTCACTGCTTCACTTTAATTATCCTCACTCATTTTAATGGTCTAAAAGGAAACAAAGAAATACTCACAGTATCACTAGCGAAGTGAAGATAGGTGGGTACAGTACGAAACATTAAAAAGGGAGCTTACGAATCGCTTGTCAACGTCCAAACATCAACGGCTTACTCAGCTCCTAAGCAGTGAAGAATTGGGTGACCGCAAGCCTAGCCAGTTCCTTCGCCATTTACGCAGCCTAGGCGGAAATGACATCCCGGACGATTTTTTAAGGTCACTGTGGTCATACCGGCTACCTAACTACATCCAGGCTATTATAGCTACCCAAGACCATTCTAGTCTGGACGAAGTGGCTCAATTGGCGGACAAAATCGTGGAGGTTACACCGCAGACTCCCCTGCAACAAGTGGCAGCAACTTCAACGCCATTAGAAGAGCTACATAAGAAGATTGACATGCTCACGCAAAGATTAGATGCAATCTCAATGTCTAGTCAACGATACCACGTCGGGGTCACCACTTGTGGGTTAGTAGGATGGAACTCAAAGATATACTAACTCCACATTGAATATATATATTGTACAATTACAATTTGGAATTTACAGCTAGGAACATAGACCTTATAGCAATCGCGCGGCCGACGGCAGACACCCTTCCAGTCACGTACGCAGAATCACTGACGTCCAGCGAAAATCCGACGATGCACGAAGGCGCCCGAGCGTATTAAAAATAACGGCTCACCGCGCGACGGCGATTAGCTCTTATGTCAGTTGTAGACAGGCCGCCACACCTTCATTATCAGCATATAGTCTATGCAGCTCTCGTTATGTCTTTTTCTTTCTCTCGTGATGTGGACAAGCTAGGATAGCTTGTCGGTACCACTGCCACAGGGACATTTATGAGGAGGGCAGACCGGAACTCAAAGCCGTAGATAGGTTGCGATTCGGAGCGTGTCAGGCTCAAGACATGTTTCTGTATTTGACGAAAGGTACAGTTGAAGCCAGTAGCCGGCCTAATGCGTACCCACGGCCAAAAGCCTAGCACGCGCCAAACCTGTACAATAGCTCAAAGATTGTCATGAGTCAATTTGCGGTTTATGTCGTCCCAGCTCCTCTGTGAATTTGGAGAAACTGGAAAATTTTGACCTGGGCATGTAATTAAGAAAGCATTTCTAGTTTTTTCCAAGCCAGCAATCTCAAAGTTTGAAGGGGATGCCCTTAATGTTTTACTTATGAGATTTGCTGAACTATGGACAGAAGATAGGAAATTTGCTAATCCCTAAACCGCCATAACGGTTGGATGGGCGGATGCTGGGGTCCAAGACTGCTCGTTCAGCTGCATATTAAGAATCGATTCTAAACTAATTTTGATTAAGTCGTCTACCTGTGTTAAAAGATCTGGGTGATTACAAAAGGAACAGCAACGGAGCACATACGTAAATTTTGGGCACATGTTTCGATCCCGTACGAATGGGAAAGTGGTTAGAAGTAACGGTTGGTCTGGCATGCGTCTTCGATCTAACGTTAAACCCTCGGCGTTCCATCGTTAGATCGATCTGTTGTTGTTGTAACTTTTCCGCCAGTAAAATACGGCACTGGCGATGTCATATTTTCAAATTTTAAAGGAAGTAATTACCTTTATGTGGTATTATGCACTAGTATATTTTTTAAAGTCGGACATCTGCAACACCCGATGGCTTTCTGATGCGTTGACAACATTTTCATACTTTCACTTCACACCCGTCTTATATAAGGCTATGGTACTGTCCCAGACGAGCCTGCCCATTCGTGCAACAGAAGCTGTTGCGTGACCTTACAACAGTTAACAAAGTTAATGTATTATTAACTGATATTATATGGCCCCCATGTACGAGGCGAGGATGATGCAGCCAGGACAACTTCTGCACCAATATCCAGAAAAATAAAAACAGGATAGTTATTATTATTATTTAATGCAATTTTTTTTTTGTTGATTACAACCGACTATGAATACATCTACGAATTCGAACCAGAAGAGTAGATCGAGTAACGTCTTTTAATTGACCTCAGCATAATATATGGCAGGTTCATATCTAATTTCTTGTATTTACGCGATTACACATGTTATATGTGTTATCGAAAGGTTTAAATTTCGCAATAACGCCGCGAAAAATCGCGTACGCGAAGAAATAATCTGTAGTGTCGAGGACTGTCTATATAAAAATAACATCGGTAAGGAAGATTTAGAACGTATACGACAAGATATTTCGTCCTTATTACGTCGAAGTTTTAACTAAGTCTTAAAAAAGATTTAACTGTTCTCCGCTCAGATAAAGGAAATGCTACGGTGGTTATTAAGACGTCGAATTATAATTTGAAAATACAAGAACTGTTGTCGAATGTAAGCACGTATAAAAAGGTCAAAACAGACCCAACCACTAAAACGCTTAAATTAACTAGCGATCTCATTAAAAAATACTCTGAAAACTTAAATCTAGACGTAAAATCGATGACACCTTCATGTGCTAAACCCCCTAAATTGTATGGGTTGCCTAAAATACACAAACCAGTCATGCCATTACGCCCTATTGTAAGCCAGATCGACTCACCAACTTACAGACTGGCTCAACATCTAGTACAAATTCTCTCACCGCTGAGAGGTGGAAACCAGCCACAGTGGAGCGAGTACCTGCTGTTCTACCATATGTCAGAGTAGTCACCGACAAGATTGGCTATATCTTAAAGCAGGCTTCAATTAATACATTCTACAAGCCGCTGAAGAAGATTAGTCAGTTTTTACCATCTGTCCAGTGTAATATCCCTCTGCAAGATCCAGGAGTGTACAAACTTGACTGTGAATGTGGGCTCTCTTACATAGGACAAACAAAAAGAGCAATAAAAACCCGCGTGAAAGAACATATAGCTGACATAAAACTCAATAGATTGAACAAGTCTGCAGTTTGTGAGCACATTTTAAATAGGCCCAACCACTACATCAGGTTTGATAGACCAACAGATCCTTGCAAAAGAACACCGATTCTTCCCAAGGATGATTCGCGAGGCTATTGAAATTAAAAACACACTAATTTCAATAGAGAAGAGGATTGGGTACTATCATCGGCTTGGGATCCTGTCATCAATAAAATTAAATCTAGGCCCAAACGAACCACTACTGCAAGACAAGATACAATTAGCTCCCTCTGCATATATTGGACACAAAATTAATAATTCAAAAACTGACGGTAGCCCGGGTTAACTATGACAATCGGACGTCTAACACCTCAGTCTGTCCCGTGACCATGAACGCTGTAAAGGGTTCGAAACGTCGGCAATGAAAATTAAAAATAAACGCGATAAATCGGTAAAATTAGTTTCATTTATAATGTTCATATCTGTCGATAATCGACTGGGGGAACTTTATGGTGAGAGAGTTTCGGCTTCTGACATACTCATTCAATATGATGAAATGGCTTCGTAAACTGTACGGATAAACGGAATTTTGTAGAACACATCTTTTTAAGTTTTATAATGATACAGACTCACCCATAAATTACCATCTTCAATCGAGACATTTGCAGGGCAGAAAGAACGGGCCAACCAGAAATCGGAAGTTCTGGCGGGTTCTACGGGGAAAAAATTTGAACAAGTCATAATGTAGCTTATATTAAACAAGAAAATACGTACAAATTGACTGTTGCGTAAAATAATAAATCTAACGGGACGTCGACGGGGCTTCAACCTCAGCTAGGTTTTTTAGGTTAAGTTCTGAATCAAACAATTTATTAATGAAGTATTAATCAACCGTTTGTGAATAAAAATCTTACCAGAAGAATCAGGTACTCCGGACGTCGAAAATACTACATACAGCGTGTCGTTACAACCGCGACAACAAATGAACACACGTCTAACGCTACTTGCCAATAATCATAAAAAAATTTGAAACGTTAAAAAAATCTATGATTAAAAAAAAACTAATTAAGTAAAAAAGAAACAAAATTTGTCCTATACAACTACAACTGACTTATTCATACATTCAGGGACGTTTTCATTCGTTGCCACAACGTCGCATTTCAAGTCTCTCCTTCTGACAGTATGTTTTACCTCTTTTAAATTAATTCAACCCTTTGTGACCTTTACAAATGAACTTTACGTTACATTTTCGTAAGGATGTTCTAAAAATGTTTATTTTGTAAAATTTTATAACTCGGTAAATATTGATGTTTAAAGAATGTAAATGCTGAAGTGTAACGTTTTGAAAGTCTGCTTCCTGTCCTTACAAATTTGACAATTTGCACGGTTAACGCCCGGAACAGGCAAAACAGGCCAATTCACGCCTGGGATTTTAATATCCAGCGTCTCTGGAAGTGTCAAACTTTGTTTTAGTAGCTTCTGATATGAGGTATATTCACATGCTCATACATTTTACAATAACTGCAACCGAGTATCGATTTCACGTCTGCTGTGCCACGACTATAGTTCCAAAGGCAGCCAAATCTTAATTCCTTGCACCGTCAAATCTTGCTGAATATGTAGCAAAGTTGCTTTTACCATTAGTGTAAGTTGCCGGTTGTCGAAGCGTCGACATTATAAGTGACCATTGTTTATCAGTGTGGGCGCCGCAGTCTTCACAAGACATGGCAGAAAGCTGTCGACCGACCAGAAAATCAATCAATCAGCCTTTTGCAGTCCACTGCTGGACATAGGCCTCCCCAAGAGTACGCCACAGAGTACGATCTTCCGCTTTCCTCATCCAGCCTCTACCAGCGACCTTTCTCAGGTCATCGGTCCACCTGGCAGGGGGACGTCCGACACTACGTTTTCCGAGACGTGGTCTCCATTCGAGAACCTCTCTGCTCCAGCGCTCATCGGTTCTACGACAGATGTGGCCAGCCCACTGCCACTTCAGCTTGCTACACTTACGGACTATATCCACAACTTTGGTCCTCTGCCGGATAATTTCGTTTCGGATTTTATCCTTTAGCGAAATACCGAGATTGAAGACTGGCGAAGACTGGCAGGACGCACTGATTGTAGACCCTGCTTTTTAGGCATTGTGGTAGTGGCGACGAGAAGATATGACGCAGATTTCCAAATGCTGCCCAGCCCAGCTGCACTCTTTTAGCGATTTCACGCTCAAAGTTGTCTCTACCTAACTGCAATGTCTGCCCGAGGTAAACATACTCTTGGACAACTTCGAGCGCTTCGCCGTTGATAGAAATCGGCTCTGGACTTATAAAGTCGTTGAACATGACCTTAGTCTTGTCCAAGTTCATCCTGAGACCGACCGATGATGAGGCAGCATCCAAGCTTTGCAGCATGATTTTCAAATCCTGCATCGATTCTGCCATTAAAATAATGTCGTCGGCAAAGCGGAGGTGGTTGAGATATTGGCCATTGATGTTGATGCCCAATCCGTTCCAGTCCAAGGTTTTGAAAACATCCTCCAGTGCGTTGGAGAACAGTTTCGGAGAGATGACATCTCCCTGTCTCACTCCTCTGAGCAGCTGGATGGGTTTAGTCTTTTGGTTTTGTACCTGGACGGACATCGTCGCCGTGCTGTACAGGCTTCTCAGCACCTCCACGTACCGCCAGTCGACTTGGCATCGCTGCAAGGATTCCAGAACGGCCCAGGTTTCGATGGAGTCGAAGGCTTTTTCGTAGTCCACAAATGCTAGACACAGCGGCTGATTATACTCTTGTGCCGGTGGCTGAAAGGCGTCAAATCTTGCGGCGAGACGGTTTGTGA